TTGAATTATCTTTTATGTTGTCACTTTTAAACCATCAAACGCACACCTTACCTTTTGATACCATGTTTTGTTGTCATTGCGTTGAATGTAATGGAGGAACATGGAATCGATGTAATGTACGATAACATTCAATATTTGGTTGAATTTAATAAGTCAAGTTATATGCTTTTTTGGACAAACAAAGCAAGCCATTGAACTCATAACGAAAAAAATGAATAATATTTTGATGTTACTGCAAGTGAATTCATAGAATTGAATATTTTGATTTTGAATAATTTATTCTGAAATTTAGAACTATTCTGATATCAACTGTTAAGGAGACAAAATGTGCTATAATCTTCAGACGCATGAACTTATTTGCACCGAAGAAGTGCATACTTGTTTCTGAAAATTGAAGAGAGAAATGATTAAATTGAAATGAGTAAAAACATACAAAATATCGTTTGAATGAATTTTGCTTTATTTACTTGATATTTTTCTGTTTACAATTGAAGTTAGAGTGAGAGAATCTTAAATAGAGTAACATTTTTGATATCTGAATGATTTGAATGAAGAAAGGCGACAATATGTTTGAAGTGTAATGAATTTTCCTGTTTTCAACACCATTATAAATCAATAAAAATAAAATAAATAAGCGATACGGTCACAATTATTAGACTCAAACTAATGCCTGATACAAATAAGGAAATCAAAATAATAATATTTTTTCTTGCAAACAAATGCAAACTAAATATGCACAATTACATCTAATGAAAAGTCACATAGTTGTAGACTGTACATCAGATACGAAGGAGCATAGTTATGAATATAATTGAATAAGTTCCGCTTACTTGTATGTCATTCAATATGGACCAATCCAAAATCTAATATTTTTAACGAAGAAATGAAGCACGTAAATGAATAACGTCAGAACATTTCTCGTTTCTTATTCAAGGTGGCCAAATCAAGAGGATTTGAGTCACTTTGTATTACACCGTACAACACATGTTTTCGCACAAGAGAAATTCCAATGGCGTTTGTTAGAGGACCTCAAAACAAACACTTCTGCATCATTAGAATGTCCGGAACCACGTCTAGATTTTTTTTTATCGATTTCGGTAGTTCTTCTGGGAACCTGAAAAATCAGCGGAATTTCCTTACACTCAAAACATCGTTTTCTGCACATTTCTTGGCTGGTATTTATTGAAAATGATTAAAACGATTGAAACTACAATAATACATTGAATTCAACCCATCTGGTGAGAGCTTTGAGGCAAAATGTCGAGAAAATAGTCTATTTTTCCAGTTTTTCGACCAAAGCTCGAGCAGTATACATTTTTTTCACTTACTATGTTCGGCAATATTGTAGCCAGAGTATAGCTGAGCAATACTCCTGAACATATTAACTCGAAAAATCAACATCCAATCCACTTTATTGGCTCAAAATCACTTTTCGCTATAAAACGGTATTTTTGTGCATTTTCGAAGTCCTGAAACTTCTCAACTGCTTAAAATAGAACAATAGTGTCTGAAGAAAATTTTTAGTACTCCTCAAGAAATTTTCAGGCCAAGTACTAAAAAGTACTAAAAAGAACTAAAAATGTACTAAAAAGTACTAAATTGTTTTAAACACTTTGGATGGCTCCGGTCAACTCTGGGTGATGAAAAACTCTACTAACTCGTGTTAAATACTCCGTTTTGGACCGTAGTAAACACTAGTGTTTGGTTCTTATCCGGAAAATTGAAGTTTCAATCGAAAAGGTCATGGTCCGAAGATGTTACAATTTAATGGATTATGCTGGTCATTTTTTGATTGAAACTTCAATTTTCCGGATAAGTACCAAACACTAGTGTTTACTACGGTCCAAAACGGAGTATTTAACACGAGTTAGTAGAGTTTTTCATCACCCAGAGTTGACCGGAGCCATCCAAAGTGTTTAAAACAATTTAGTACTTTTTAGTACACTTTTAGTTCTTTTTAGTACTTTTTAGTACTTGGCCTGAAAATTTCTTGAGGAGTACTAAAAATTTTCTTCAGACACTATTGTTCTATTTTAAGCAGTTGAGAAGTTTCAGGACTTCGAAAATGCACAAAAATACCGTTTTATAGCGAAAAGTGATTTTGAGCCAATAAAGTGGATTGGATGTTGATTTTTCGAGTTAATATGTTCAGGAGTATTGCTCAGCTATACTCTGGCTACAATATTGCCGAACATAGTAAGTGAAAAAAATGTATACTGCTCGAGCTTTGGTCGAAAAACTGGAAAAATAGACTATTTTCTCGACATTTTGCCTCAAAGCTCTCACCAGATGGGTTGAATTCAATGTATTATTGTAATTTCAATCGTTTTAATCATTTTCGATAAATACCAGCCAAGAAATGTGCAAAAAACGATGTTTTGAGTGTAAGAAAATTCCGCTGATTTTTCAGGTTCCCAGAAGAACTACCGAAATCGATAAAAAAAAATCTAGACGTGGTTTCGAACAAACTAATGATGTAGAAGTGTTTGTTTTGAGGTCCTCTAACAAACGCCATCGGAATTTCTCTTGTGCGAGAAAAAAAGTTGAAATTTGTCGAACGGTGTTATTAACGTGATTTGAATCCACTGGACATTGGATTTCCTGCGAAATTAAAGGTTGAGTCGATCCGAATTTGGATTCAAATTTTTAAAAACAGTGTGAAACTCTAAATCTATCGAATGAAAAGTAATTAGTTTCAAATTATGATAATATCAGTTGATTGTGAAATGCCTGCTATACACTTTCCTGAGCTTAATTTCTTGACATAGGCACCTGATGCGTTATTTTATCGCGTTTTTATCTAAAATTATTGTGGCTTCTTCACCAGCCATATTCCATCCATGCATCAGGTATTTGAGTCGGTAAATTCAGCTCAGGAACAGGCATTTCACAATATATTCTGGATATTTGTGAAGGTAGAAAATCCGAACTGAACAATAAAATGAAAAATTATCGATATCATTATGGAAATTTAAAATTTTCTTTTACCCGAAGCTTTTGATTTTCACCAGTTCAAAATGAGTCAATTTCATTCTTGGATTATAATCCTGTCTGCTTAAGTAAATCGTCACACTGTTCGCTCCGACTAACTTTCGTCGTTCCTTATTCAGTGTTGCCAAATCAATTGACTTATCGCCGGCCAAATGTTCGATTTGAATTTTCTTCAGTTTCTTGAATATTTGAATGAAATGTAAAATATGCTTAGAGTCCAATATGCCGAACTTGATCCACTCGATTCGACTGTCAACATTGTTCGCTTGTAAATTAGATTCTTGAAAATGATAACCCATGTTCAATCCTTTCAAATCCACCATAGGAAGTAGAGTTGGATGAATTAAATAGTCCACAGTAAGAGGTGCCTTAATTTGTTCCAATGTGTTTTGATACCTTTGAAAAAATACCGCGTCGACTATTGACACACGTTCATAGAAACCCTGTTCATAAAGTTTGTTCAATAGCTCGATCAATAACTCGATTCTTCGTAAATCTCTGGAAAGAAGAGTACTGAGACACTCAACCGAAAGTTTGGTCAGTTTTAAATTACTGGTCAATATCCACTCTTGATGATCTAAAAGATATTCAGAGGTGATTCCAATTTTTCGAATACCTTTGTTTAAGGTCAAAAATGTTGTGATCTGTTCATTTGTGGGTACTATCCTATATAAACATGTCAAATCCATAGATTCTAGATGTGAATATTCATAATGTAGCCAGTTGAAAACATTTTCAATCGTTCCATCACGTTTCCCACCCACAAACACTTCTAAATGCTTCAAATTTGTACAAAACCTCAGAATATTTCCATATAAATCACCAGTGAAAGTATCGTCACAGTTAAGTATTTAAATTTTTTCGCATCGGTGTAAAATCTCTACAATACCATCAATTCGACGACTGGTTAACTTCAACGTCAATTCCTTGATCGATTTAAATCTTGGTGCAAATTCTGCAAGCTCAGTCGCGGTATTACTCGAGATAATCAGTTTCGGAATAAATTCAATAAAACCATTTATGTTGCCCCCTTTAGAATGACAATGGAAAAGGTTTCGATTTTCCCAATAAAACTTCGTGGATTTGTAATTTTCCCGAACAAAATATCCGGTGAATTGATGCATTCTTTTGCACGTTTGCCCAAATGAGTGTAGATCATCCAGAGGTAAATATTCGAAGAGTTCCTCGCAACAATCGATGTCGAGCTTGAAAATGCTTGGTGGTGAATCATAGTTTGCGTCTAATAAATTCCCATCTTTAGTATCGTTAAGAGCAACTGCATCGGTTCTTTCATTTAGTTCCATCTCCTCGTTCAGCTTCAATCTCTGTGCACCAGTTCCACTCTCATCATCACTATCATCAGGTCTGCGAATTATTTTAAAGAATATAATAAACAGGGTCAACGTTCACAACTTTTTGGTCCACAAGAAAAAGAGTTCGGATATTTTATGTAAGATGTTTTCAACTCAAACACTGTAATGCAACTGATTCTGTCTCATCTGTATTGGCAGAGGAAACTTCTTAAAATGAAAAAAATATTTCTATGCATGTTTCATGACTTGGTATAACGAAATGTTAATGTATTATTCTACTACCTGCCGTGGCCATAATAAGAAGAAGTCATAAAGAATTGTTGGTGTCCAGACTAATTAAGGATATATTTTGCATATATCGGCTGATTTGTCGAGTCTAATCTATCATTAGACCGATTTCCAGATTGTAACTGTTGTTTCAAATAATCTTATACTTTGTAGTATTTTGTACTTGTAAAACTAATCAAAATTTGAAGAAAAATATCTTTTGATCACATCTAGTTTTTCTCTATATTGTAGAAAAAATTGAATTTTCAAGTTTAAAATAATTAAAATAGTTTAGTTGCGACATGAAATACTGATTTTTCGAGTCAACATAAAAATAGCGTGATGTACAAAGGAAGTGAACGTGAAGAATTATTATTATAGTTGATACAATTACCTCATCATGATTAAGGTCAATGAACTGAACTAGAATTGGCTGAAAAAATATATTCTGAATATGACTTTAACAAAGGAATCGCGGTAAAGATATTTGAATATGATCAGAATTTCCTTGAATTTTATTTATTCCATTTGATATTGACCAGTCCAGGATCAGTCGTTTCCATTATTGGATTAATTTGACTTTTTTTATGTAAATCGTCACACTGCTCGCACCGACTAAATTTTCTCGTTCTTCTCTCAATCTTGCCGCATCGAAATATCGTCCGAAGACCCAACCAATTTGAATTTCTTTCAGGTTCTTCAATGTCTGCACCCAATTTAATATATGTAAGAAATAACAACCATCTGCTTTAATCCGCTCGATAGTCGAAACATTGTTTGCCAGAAGAGTTTCGAGATTATTAGAATCAAGTATGAAATAAAATTCAAATTGTTTTAATCCCAATGTCGGAAGTGTGACCTGAAAATAAAAACACAATTCGCAGTTTAATGATAAATGTTTATACAATCCTCCTTGGCTACATTCACTTTTTCAACTCTAACCATTGATACGTGTGGAACTTCCCCTTTGTTTGTATGGATGTATGGATTAGAATGGGGGTTTTGGTCAAGGGCGTGATAATCGTCCAAGACCAGAACCGTCGCGTAGATCAATGATCTTTTGCGAATATTACCCAAAGATAAAAATTCAAACAGGTTGTACAGATCCAGATTTTATATAAGACACAGGGGGTAGTGAAAAAGGAAATACGTTCCATTCCCGTTTACCTTTAGGTGTCTAGTCATTTGCATTTAAACTGTTCATTTCATCTTCCCTTCGTTTAGTTTCAATCTCTTTGCATTGATTTTATCTCCTTCTTCGCGACGATTTCGATCCATTTTAATTGACGAAATAAACAAGGTAAATGTTCACAATTTTTTGATCCAACAGAAAAATAGTTCTGAAAATTTTTGAAATATTTTATGTAAGATGTTTTCGATTCAAACACTGAAATGCAACTGATTCTGTCTCATCTGTATTGGCAGAGGAAACACCTTAAAATGAGAAAATTATTCCCCTGCATATTTTATGACGTGGTATAACCAAATATGGACATATAGTTCTACTACCTGTCGTGTCGATAAGAGGCCATAAAGAATTTTTACTGGCGAAACTAATATAGGACATATTTTGCATATATCGACCTATTTGTCTAATCTTATCCATCATTAGACCTTCCGAAGATTGAAGTCCAACAGTGACAACAGTATTTTTAAATTGCAATAAAACTAAATCGAAATAAAAGAAGCCTTCTTTTTTTTCTTACCGTTTTCTATTTAATTTTGCGTTTTCAAACCGTATTTGCATTGAAAAAGTGAAGTTTTTATTAAAAGTTTGAATACTGCTTTAAATAAATACATATGTTCGAAATAAAATGAAGCCAAACATTACAGAATTTTCTTTCTTTATTGAAAAATTTCGCCATAAAGTAATTGAAAACCAATCATGATCACCAATAACAATCATTTGCATAAAAATATGTAGGTATTCATTCAAACAATATCGATGGTATAAAGTTTACAAAAAACTTCACAGAATGCATCTTACTAAGTGAAGAAGAATCAATTTAAACAATTTCAACAATTAAACTTTCATGGGTGAGATTGAGAGAAGAACAGTATGATTTTTCTTTGATTTGTTTGTCTCGGATTGTCTCGGTTTTCTACGTTCTCATAAAACTGATAAGTGATAACCGATTGGTGGCATGGAACTTAAGGTGTTCTATATATAATATTGCTGCGGACAAAGTGAGTGAGTCTCTAACTCTCAATCTCACCCACAGAAGGATTCGAATCGATAAAAAAAAACTCTCATCTAGTTGAAAAATTCTGAACCGAAAAAAAAAGAAAATTAAAAGAATGATTTAAATTTGATTTCATCTGCTGCATTTGATCCTAACTAAATCAAAATGTGTCATTTTCATTTTTGGATCATAATTGTGTCTACTCAAGTTTATCGTCACGTTGCTCGCACCGATCAGCTTTTCTCTTTCATTGTTCAATGTTATCAAATCCAAGGAATATTTGTTATCTAAGAATTTAATGTTAATTTCTCTGAGATTTTTTGACTTTCGAATGGCAAATAATATATTGTCAAAGGTTTTCAAATACTGAATTTTGATCCGTTCGATAGTCGAAATATTATTTGCCAAAAATGTTTCCAAATCATCGGCATCGTCTATTGCAAATATTCCAAATTCTTTTATATTCAATGGTGGAAATGCCGAGGAAATGCCTGCACATATGAACATATATATTGCGGGTGGTATGCGAGTCGTGACTAATCTATCGCATTCAAAATCACTCATATCGTGTAAAGATAAACGTTTATAGAAGCCCCGTTCATAGAGTGTATTCAATAAATCGATAAGTCCTTTTTTCAGCTGATCATCGATCGAATTTAGGTGCAAACAATTAACTGAAAGTTCATCCAGCTTAATGTTAGTGTTCAAGAGCCAATGGCGAATATCCCACAGACATGCAACATTCGTCTGAAAACGTCGAATTCCTCGATTAAGTGCAAAAAATCTTTTGATCATACCAATCGGTGGCTTCACCGCTGTGTTTGAGTGTAAATCGAGGTACTCTAGTTTCGGATATTCATGAAGCATCCAATTGTTATCGTTTTCAAAGCTAACATCACTAATACTATTCACATTCACTTTAAAATGCGTTAAATTTGTACAAAACATGAGAATATCCCCGTATAAATCGTATAAATCATCGGCAAACATATCACGATAAATTGATAAATAAATTTTCTCGCATTTTGGCAAAATTCCTTGGATGCAATCAATTTGACCGCCGTTTAAATCCAATTTCAGTTCTTTGATCGATTTGAATTTCGGTACGAATTGTGCGAATCTCTTCAAGGTGTCGCTCATAATTCTTAGTCTTGAAATAAATTCGACGAAACCATTCATGTTGCCTTCGTCGGGCCAAAATTGGGTAAAGTTTCCATTCTCCCATTGAAACCACGTCGACTTGTAATTCTCTCGAACAAAATATCCGGTAAATCGATGCATTCTCTTACACGTTTGGCCAAGCGAGTGTAGATCTCTTAGCGGCAGATATTCGAACAGTTCTTCGCAGCAATCGATGTCGAGCTTGAAAATGCTTGGTGGTAAGTCATCTTTTATGTCGGGTAGATTCACTTCTTCAGCAGTATCAACAGCACCGTTTCTTTTATTTCGATCTTTGTCTTCATTCTGCTTCGATTCTTTTCTATTATTTTGGCTTTTAGCATCCTCACAATGGCAATTAGTTTTAATTTTCATCTTCACTGCACTTGTCTGTTCGAATAAAACGTCAACGATCACACCGTGTTTGGTTCAAGAAAATCAATTACAACAACTTTCTTTACTTTTTTCCGTAAGACGTTCACACCTTAAAAACTGAAATGCAACTGACTTTTTCGACACAATTGAATTACTTGTTTTTTGATTTTTTGAAATAATTAAAAGAGTATTAGTAAACCTAGTAAACGAAATTAGTTTTACCTGAATTCAAAATAGATATTTCTCCATCTACAAAGGCTGACTCATTACATTCCATTGAACAAACGTCGTTAGGGTAAATATTGTGCAAAAAACAATTAGTCGAAGTGCTTGTTTCATATTATGAATAGCCATTTTGTCAACCCACCTTAAATCACACGAGTATGAATTGATAACAATAATAACTAGTATTTTCAATGTAAACATAAGCTCTACTGACACGATGCTTGTGCTGATAGTTGAACATTTTAATCACATTAGCGTATGCAATCAAATAGCCATTCGCGCAGACCTATGCTAGCGTATCTGTATTGTGTGCAGTGTTTTTCATAGATACATCTATATCTGAAAAAATAGATATAGATTAGATAGATACATATCTATATCTGTATCTAGATACTTGAATAAATATCGAAAAATCTATATCTAAATCTATATACTTATTATTTTTTACATATCTATCTATCTATTATATTGAAAAAGTAGATAAAAATCAAATTGAATTGTTTGTTGAGATGATTCATTGTCGTTTACTTAACTGCAAGTACAACTTAATACAAATTTGTGAAAAGTTATTCAACAAAACATATTTCGAAATAAATTATTATGTTCTACTAGAAATAGATATTATTTCTTTGTGGAATTCAAAAATGAGATTAATTTCAAAGAAAGAAATATCAATTTTGAACGAATATCCGAATATTAGAAATGTATTTTACCGACATAATACAACATTATCAGCCTCGGCCGCAGTAGAACGAGTGTTCAGTCAGTCGAACATGATTTTTACACCTCGGCGTAATCGACTATTGTGCGACAATTTCGAAAGTCTAGTTTTGCTCAAACACAACCGGAAATATTTAATTTCGAAATAATAATGTTCAGTGCTATGATAAAATCAATAAATTGAATATATTGAACACCAACTTTGTTTTTAAAAATTTAATTTCGAACAAAATGTATTTCTTTTGCTTTTATTTTGCAGAATAATATGAGCTATTTTTTGTTTCAAATCTTTTTCCAAATCTTGTATCTATAGAGACTAATTTAGATAGATATCTAGATATTTTGATATCTATATAGATATTCAAATTTATATCTATATCTATATCTAGATTCAGATTCTATACAGATCAAAAATCTATATCTAAATCTAGATACCAATATCGTATCTATGTAAAACGCTGATTGTGTGTATATATTGACCGCTCAACGTATGTTGTGTGTATGACCACTTGAGGCAGGTCGAATGTTTTCGTCAGTATGGATTTCATATATCAAACATATGCATCAACTTTGAAGCGAATTCAAAATCACGATATTCTATTGTATCCAAATTTATGTACATATGTATCATCAATCGAAAAGGAAATGTGACTTCAAAACGAAGAAAAAAAGATGCAAATTAAAAACAATTAAAAAATCATTTGAATAAATCCTTATTGGATTAATGTTTTTATTCGTAATTAATATAGAGAGGGAAAGAAACTGTCCATTTTTTTAAGTTATCTATTTTTTCTGTTTCATGTTGACAAATCGAAAATCTGTCATTTTCATTGTTTTATAATAGAACATATGTGTCGCTGGGCATAAAAATGGGAATACAGTTCTGTTACAGCAACAACCGAAACGTTACATGAACGTTTTTGAGGAACAATATTTTATATTCGGTTGTTGCTGTAACAGATCTGTATTCCCATTTTTATGCTCAGCGACACATATAGTCTGGACAGTTTAAATAAATCGTCACACAGCTCGCTTCCACTAATTTTTCTTGTGTCGCGTTCAATGTTGCCAAATCAAGTGAGTTCATACCAGAATAAACACAATCGGTGACAATTTCCTTTAAATTCATTAATTTTCGCACACAAAATAAAATTTGTTTGAAATTCCAAAATATCATTTTGATCCGCTCAATGGTCCGTCGTCTTGTAATTTTCACGAAGGAAATATCAAGTGAATTGAGACATTCTCTTGCACGTTTGATTAAGCGAGTGTAGATCCTCCAGTGGTAAATATTTGAATAGTTCTTCGCAGTAATCGATGTCAAGTTTAAAAATGCTTGGTGATGGGTCGTCATTTGCATCGGATACATTCGCTTCTGCAGCGACAACCGCTAATTCCTGCGGATCTTCTCCTTCACCAAATTGGCCTTCATCTTCACTACGGTTGCGATCCATTTCAACTGATAGAACGAACAGAGTCAACTAACTTCCACAACTTTTCGATCTAAGAGAAAAAAACGTTGGATATTTTATGTAGGATGTTATCAACTTGAACACTCAAATGCAACTGATTCTTTCTCATCCGTATATAGTAAATGTTCTGTGATATAAGAAACAGAATAGATCTAGTACACTAACTACATCCAGTTGATGACCATTCCACACCAAGCGGGACAAAATTTGCAAGTTTGCAATCTTGCAAATTACTCACAGTCTTCTTCTTTTCAATATTCGTATGCTTTTAACAAATTGAATCAACATAATCAACCCTTTGTTTTCTTCCTTATATTTGATTTCTCGCCATTTCTCATTTTATTCGTTTTGTTTTAGCCTGTCGTTGATTTCATGTTTTCAAACAGTTTTAACAACAAAAATTTGAAGTTTTAATAAGAAAATTAAACGTTCGTGACCGAATGCATCAAAACAGACAACTCAATTCAACAATTTAACCGCCGACTCTAATTCGCCTTCCGTTACAGTTGTTTGCAGCGGTTTCAAATGGGAATTGAGTAGAAAATACTTGGTTGAGCTACTTTGGTTTTTATCAGCGTAATTAACCGGATAATTAGCAAATTGCTCACGTTCTAAATCACGTTGATCCAATAGAGTAGGACTATATGACTTTAAATTTGTTTGGTGTTAAGCTATGAGATAACCATCGTACGATCAAAATCTTTGTTTTATTGAGAAAAGAAGTGAATTTTTCGCATTGAAGTTGAATGAAATCAAGGTTCATAGTTCAAGCTAATGGATATATGATGATAATTCTATGTTAGAATTTCTACCTTTAGAGTCGTCCCAAAATATTAAATTGATGATTTTTTTTCAAACATTTCCATTGAAATCTAATCAAAATCTAAATGATCAATACAACAATCAATAGTTCTCAGATTTTCATCCTGAATAGCACCGTTGACACGATACCTTTTTGATGGAATTGTTTCGATAACACGGCCCATTAGTCAAATTGTCAAATTAAGAACGTCTATTTCGTCCGTTGCATGCAAGAATCCGATTGTGTGATAAAAAGAAATGCCGAAAATTGCGCATTTTCATTTCGATTCACAAGCGAAAAATAAACGAGTATCAATTTTGCGCCTAATGTTCCTAATTTCATCATTTCTTCGTCTCGACTGCGTTCGAAACTGTTCATTTTTCATTGAATGTCATTTTTAATTTGCATGAAAATGAAAAATCCATCGGGACGATAGAAAGAATTGCGGTGTTTTATCATAAGAAAGAAAAAACGTCACAATCAAATTGCTTCGATAGTGATCAGCAATCAAAAAAGAGTAAAAAAAAGATGAAAACGCCTTCATTGCGCTCCAAGTCGACGAACAAAAACAAATCGCTCTTTTTTTATTGCCAGTTATTAGTTTGTCAAATTGTGTGTTTGGTGTGTTGGGTTTGTGCGACGTTCGAATTTTCGAATCGGTTCATTTATTTTTCGGTACGTATATATTCATGCAAATGAAATAAAGTTTGTGTGGCGGTGCAAGGTATTTTCACATTTTAACTCTTTTTTCCCTTTCCCCCTGAGAATTATTCCATTTTTTTCTCGATTCTCATTCCACCGTGACAAAAAGGCCCGCATTTAACGAAACGAATAATAAAAATTAGTTTATTTTATATGCCTTGGTGACGTATTTCGAATGAGTTGTGTGTCGTGTGTGTTTTTTTTTCTCATTTTGTTTGGTACAATTTTGCGCCAAATGCCACACTCCAATCGCTTGCATACGGAACAAAAACAGTTGTCATCATTTTAAATATGCGACAATCAAACTTTGAACAAAAACCCGGGAATAGAATGAACTGAACTTTTTTCTGTCTCGTTTGTTTGATTTTACTTTTTGAATTTGCACGAGAATTGAGAATTTTACTGCAAAATTACTGCTCTTTGCGTTTTTTTATCAGTTGAATGGTGTCTTTTCTTTCAGATCAATTTTTATTGAAGCTAAGTCATTGATAAATGCTCAAATGCAATCAGTTCTGTTATCAGTGCTAGGCTGCGAGAGAGTCAGCTGCTCCGTCTGAATATATGTATTATCGCATTCGCGTCGAATATAACATGTTAGGGCCATGATTTAGCGATGGGTTACGTGGGCACTATCAAGTATGTCACCAACTTGATATTTATGTAACGAGAGTCACAGGGTCGATCGTCGTGATTCAAACGTGTGATATCGTTTCATTTATACCCAAAGTCTAATCAATCCCGTGATAAACACGCGTTTTTTTTTCGTCAAAATCACAATTTAATTTGCACTTGATTTTAAAAATATCATATTTCACTTCAATGTACTAAATAAACATTTCATTATCACGCGATTGTATTTAGACTCAGTTGAATAGTGTCATTCAGACGAACCGGTTCTCCACACACACACGTTGTGAAACACAAATGGACAAGAAAATCATTATTATTGGTGCGGGCGCATCAGGATTTGCAGCAGCCGCCAAATTGATTTCCAACGGATTTGAAAATGTGACCATTTTGGAAGCAGAAAATCGCATCGGCGGACGGGTTAATACAATTCCATTCGGGGCTAATGTTTTGGATATGGGCGCACAATGGTGAGTTTTTAAGTGAATTTGCGGGTTTTATTGACGATTTTGAGGATTGAATATAAATTTGTATTCAAAAATAAGCATATTTTTCATTGTGACTCTCGAAATAAAAATGAAAGTCGGTTATTGAAAGTTGTAAAATGCATTTTTACATGGAAAATGGTAGATGAATTATGGAAAAAGGAATTTAAAATATAGAAGAAAATATTTCTTTGTGAAGAGACGATTTCGATGGGAAATAAAAAAGCACCCGATTTTGTTGTTGTTCCAAAAGTCAACAGCATTTTTGTTTTGGGTCATTTTGTTTGAAAGTTTTTTTTATTCAATATTTTCTGCCTTTTTCTTTACTCGCTTAACAGGTGTCATGGAGAAAAAGGAAATGTCGTCTATGAAATGGCAAAAGGCAAAGATTTACTATCATCAAATATTCCAACGTATAAAACCTACAATTTTGTGCGATCGAATGGAGAGGTGATTCCAGCGAAAACATCTGAACGATTAACCAAATTGGCCTTGGGAATACTCGATCGAGGTGATCATACGGCAGAAAAGCGAGCATACCATGGATCATTGGGCAATTATTTTGCACAAAAGTAAGTTTCATTAGTCAATCGATTGATTTTTGCTATTTTCCAATGTTCCCATCTTTTTTTCAAAACTAGTCAGGGTTCATCTTCATCTTTTCGGCATGTTGAACTAAATCGTAAATTCTTTGAAATATCAACAATACAAAAACAAAGAACTTGATGAAAAATAATGGCAAAAATCTTTTAAAGAAACAATTATGGTTATCTTCAAAACGATATGACAAAAATAGAAAATTGAACAAAAACAAAGAAAGAAAAACGAAGCAAATTACCTTCAAGAAAAGTGATAAAAATGCCAATTTTAGCTTAAAATTGATAACAATCGCAAAATGTCCAAAATTCCACTGTTAATTTCTATTTATAGGTTTTATCAAGCATTCCGTACAGATGAATACAGTGACATTGATTCAAATCTGCAGCACGAAGCATTTGATTGGTTCCATCGGATGCGAACATCATGGATTGCGTGTGATTTATGGTACGATGTATCATGTGGTAATTATCTGGAGTATTGGGAATGTCCCGGCAATATGATGTTAAATTGGAAAGACAAAGGCTATCGCACCGTTTTCGATTTGTTGCAGGTGAGTTTGAATCCATTACTATTGTATGTCATTGTCATTGCGTTAGTGAACAGATGACCTCACAGTACGTCTTTGTTCGCTAAAGCATTTCCGTTTATTGAGCTTTGATCAAAGTTCCATTCAACAAAATGTCAAAACAACTTTTAATTCCATTCCAGAACAAAATCCCCGAAGGAAATCCCGATCTAATTGACGTTGTGTCAAAAGTGCATTTAAACAAGGAAGTGAAAAAAATCAATTACGATCCATCAAACACTGGTCCAGATCGTATAAAGATTGAATGTGCGGACGGCAGTGAATATTCCGGTGACCATTTAATTTGCACCGTTTCATTGGGCGTGTTGAAAAAGCAACACTTCAAATTATTTGAACCAACGTTGCCAGAATATAAAATCGACAGCATTTCAGCCATGGGCTTTGGAACCGTTGACAAAATCTACTTGGAATTCACAAAACCGTTTTGGAGCTCGGACTGGGAGGGAGTTTCATTTCTCTGGAAACAAGAACAATTGAGAGAAATTCGCGAGGATCCGATCAACGGCGATTGGATGTCAAGAATCATTGGTTTTTACACCGTGAGTTTTCAACCAAACATATTATGCGCTTGGGTTACGGGTAGTGGTGCTCGAAAGCTAGAGAAAGTGAGTGAAGAAGACGTGAAAATCGGTTGTCAACACGTTTTGAAACTGTTTGTGAGTGATTGGAAGGACGCTGAGGTGAAAAATGTCATTTGGTAAGTCATATTTTTATATTGAATTCGTTGCTGATATTCGGCTTTTTCTTGCTTCTTTCTTGTCTTTTCTAATCTTTTTCTAATCCTACTTGTCCACATTCTTTTTCTTGTAATTATTTCTCTCTTTGATTTTTCTTCTTCTTTGGCATTCTTTTTTATTAACGATTTTGTTTCCTCCATCATATCACCTTATGACCTTTCATAATTGACCTTTTTAAAAAAAAATTGTTCCGTTTTAGGTCGAAATGGAGTTCAAACCCTCATTTTAGCGGTTCATTTGCGTATTATTCGCTGAGAAGTGATGCAGACGATGCATCAACAGCCACGTTGGCCACTCCAATTCTTGACAAAACCGCAAAACCACTCATCCAATTCGCTGGAGAAGCCACCGCCACACATTTCTACTCAACGGTACATGGTGCAATAGGCACCGGATGGCGGGAAGCACAACGACTCATCGATTCATACAGCAAATAACCAATTTTTTGAAATATTCATTGATTTTTTTTTTATTGAAATTTGTTCAATTCCGAAATCCTCATTAAAAATTCATAAAAAAGGATTCAAAAACGCCTCTGTTTTCAATGGAGTTTTTTTTTATTCATGATTGGTTCATTCTAATGAACACATCTGAACAATTAACGAAATTGGTCATGAGAATACTCGATTAGACTTGAGGTGTAATTTAAATTGAAGCACCGTAAAGAGAACACTTTTGATTTAGAAAGATGATTTTGGTCGAAATTTGTATGATTTTTAAATGATTGTGAGCTGATTTCTTTCAAAGATTTTCTGGTGGAGGACATAATGCCTCGGACGGACAGCATGCTTCTATGTTTCTATTACATTAGAGTGTGCTGTCCGTATGGGGCGTTATGACCGCCACTCTATTTTGCAATTCACATTTGATGCACACGTTTTCTTTCTTCGATTTTCATTTAAACTTTTTAAAGTTTCTTCAAAGCAGCTTTGTCTTCAATTTTACTAGAAAACTTGCATAAACTTCAATTAATCAGAAATAGAAAGGTCTAGAAACACTTTTATCACTCCACGCTTCAACACTGATAATGACTTTAGACACAATTCAAACAGTAAACGTGAATATTTTGTTCACAAGAACGCAATTTTCGTTGTGATTTTACGTCGCTTTCAGTCGATTACAAATGTTTACTTACACTTTATCAGCATTGGGATTATAAAAACGTAATCGAATGCACGCATTTGACTGATAAATTCGATTGAGTGTTTGAAGCGTAATCAGGTTTTTTATCAGCAACCAGTCAGCTGAATACATTACGAGTGTATAATTTCGTCGCGTTGAATACAGTGTAAAGCGTACATGATTCTGTCGTTCGAGTCAACTAGTTGTTTGTCATGGCCAATTGACACAATTAAAATTGTAGTCACGGGGTAAATCAAGTTAGCAATCAACGAATTGAGATTTCTTTTTTCCTTTTAAATGCCAATTGAGGAAAACAGAATTGCAGATTTTACTGATGAAAGAGGTAAAGAAATGTGACGTCGACTAGCAGATTTTAGGTCAGAACAAATTAAATTCGTCCTTTTTCACACTTCAGGTAGTTGCGTTCAGATCTTTGTACAGTTATTTCAAAAATATTTTATGACCTTGAATTATTTCCAACACAAATGGGCTTTACTGTAAAATTCGTTGTGACAATTCATTGTATGTTTTTCAGTTTTAGTGCTCAAATTCAAGTGCTTTATTTTGGTGCGAGTAATTAGCAACTATCTTCTCATTCTCTTTTGCTAATATTTAAATAAATTTTGACGACAGACAAAACAGTGTGAAAAAAGGAACGAATGCAAAAAGGTCTAATTTCGCTGTGCCAAACTAATTGTATAGTCAGTCATCGCAAACACGTGTTTCGTATTCTGTTTACGCTGTATTCTATTTTCAGCCTCATTTTTTCTCGTTTCTTTTTCGTTCAGTTTCGGTGTCTGAACGAACAACAGAATGCAGCTCACAAGTCCCCTTGGCCGAAGTGTTTGTTTGTATACACATCGAATCAACCACATATTTAAAAATAAGTGGCTGCAAACAATGTGTGAGATAAAACTGCCATTCGGTTGTTATCGTTTTGCCGATAACATAGTTTCAGTTGAGAACAAACGTTCAAACGAATTGGTTCGACGTATTTCGGGTGTGAAGCAAAATATGGACAAAAAAATCATAATAATCGGCAGTGGTGCGGCCGGTTTCGCAGCCGCTTCCAAATTAATTTCAAATGGATTTAAAAATGTGATCATTTTGGAGGCTGAAAATCGTATTGGTGGACGTGTTTATACAATTCCGTATGGAGAGAACGTTTTAGACATGGGAGCACAGTGGTGAGTTTATGAGTTGATGATTTATTTATTGAAAATTAGTATTTTTGAGACTTATTTATTTGAATATAATACATAAAACGTTGAAGGTTATTCCAAACAATAAGAACCTTTGTTTTGAAATCAATCTAATATGTATTGTTTCACATGCTTAATTTCGTTTCTTGATATTTTATTCGTTGTTTTATGAATTGTCTCCAAATAACTTATCGACGAAGTACATAAATAATTTTTGCTTTAGTCAACCCATCTGCTTAAGTAAACATTTACTAAAATTATAAACAAAAGAATTCCATTCACCACAACACCATAAACAGAAGCATGAATGTATTCATTGTTGAAATAGTTTGAAACTTGAAATAATTTGAATTATTTTCGAACTATTTTGAATTTTAAATTGATTGAAACTTTTATCCATTAACAACTGGAATCCTAGGCGTTTGAAATATTCAATATTTTGTTAAAGAAATTGGAATTTTCGATTCGAAAATCAATACATATTTTCAACAAAGTTTTTGATATTCTCCGATCAGGTGTCATGGTCAAGAGGGTAATGTTGTATACGAAATGGCAAAGGACAAAAACGTGTTATCATCAGATAAGCCAAGATACGAAACATTTGAATTTGTGCGATCGGATGGAGAACGAATCCCACGAGAAAAAACTGATAAATTAGTGAATCTTGCCGATGAAATTCTCGATCGAGACGACAAACGAGTGGAGAAAAACGCCTACGATGGATCATTTGGAAACTATTTTGCTAATAAGTAAGCGATTCACCGGAAACCAATAAATTTTAAATTATTTCTTTTCATATGGCGAGAAATTCGCAAGTGGAAATTGAAAAACCTTTAAAAAAAGGTATTAGTAAAACATCTTGCGATGAATGTCGTGAACGAGCAGTAATAATTTGGAACTCAATCTGTTTTAACTTATAACTCAACGATCTAAGTTGTGTTATATAGTGCTAATTCAGAACTGATCAACAGCAATCAATATTTTTTCTACAGAAGTATTCGTTTGAATTGAACGTAAACACCACAATGAATTAAATTACTTTACCTTATAAATACTCACACAACATTCAAATCACTCACACATTATCGGCCAAATCGATATATATTTCTATAGATTGGAAAGTTTGAGAATTGTTTTCAACTCTCGTATCAGTTTTTATTTAATGAAAATATTTACAATGAGATTACATATAATCAACACACATTTTTATTACAGATGGTTTGAAGCGCTTCGTGGTGTTGAATACAGTGATATCGATTCAAATCTTCAACACGAGTTACTTGAGTTCATTCATCTGTATCGTAACATGTATGTGGCTTGTGATTCATGGTACGAAGCTTCTGGACGAGATTATATTGAGTATTGGGACTGTCCCGGCGATTTGTTACAAAATTGGAAAGACAAGGGCTATGCCAGGGTTTTTGATTTGCTTCAGGTATGTTTAGAGTCGTTTGGATTTGAAAGGTTTTTAAAATTTTTACAACACGACTGTTCAGCACATTCCAAATAATCGAATTGGCTCCAATTAAACCTCAACACTTTCGCTTCCCATTTTGCAGAACAAACTCCCCAAAGGAAATCCCAATTCCATCGACATCGAGTCACGAGTTTTGCTGAATAAAGAAGTGAAAAAAATCACGTATGACCTATTGAATTCCTCTTCCAATCGTACCAAAGTTGAATGTTCCGATGGAAGTAAATATTACTGCTATCATCTAATCTGCACTGTTTCATTGGGCGTCCTTCAGAATCGTCACTGGAGTTTATTCGAACCGTCATTGCCTCGACACAAAATCAACAGTATTGAAAGCATTGGCTTTGGCACCGTTGACAAAATCTATGTGGAATTCACCAAACCGTTTTGGGACAAAGACTTTGAAGGTGTCTCGTTCCTTTGGAAGCCCGAGCAGTTAAAGGAACTCCATGCGGATCCAGTTAATGGCGAATGGTTGAAAGATACTCTGGGCTTTTATACCGTAAGCCATCAGCCGAATATTCTGTGTGGATGGATCTCGGGAAAAGCGGCGAGAAAAATGGAATCGGTCAGCCAACAAGATTTCAAAGCCGGCGTCGAACGAGTTCTGAGGATGTTCGTGAAGAACTTCAACGGAGCTCAGATCAAAAATATCTTTTGGTGAGTTATTTTGCGATTCTTCCTTTCTGTAGAAATGGTTCCAAATTTGAATATTTTTCTCTTTCTACAGCACAAAGTGGAGCTCAAATCCACACTTCCTTGGATCATATACATTTTATTCGCTGAAATCTGATGCAAAGAAAGCAACAACAAGCATCTTAGCCGAGCCGGTGGTCGATCGAAATTCCAAACCAATCATTCAATTTGCCGGTGAAGCAACACACGATCATTATTATTCAACGGTCCATGGCGCGGTGGAGACTGGGTGGCGAGAAGCTCAACGTATCATCGATTTATACAGCAAATATCGTAGACTATCCAAATTGTAACAATCAACCATCTCGGATTGGCAACAGTTTTATTTTACCCTCTAGTGCATTAATTTTTCTCAGAACTAGGAGTAACTGGTTCATGGTTGATTTTGGCCATAGATAGCGAAAAAAATATTCGAAATACTGGATTCCTTATGGTTAACTCAGAAAATATATTAGACTATTCGGGTCAAATCATAGAACAATCAAATCCAGTGTCCAAAGTGTCTAAAATTTGCTATTTCAACTAAATATATCCAATTCTTTTTTTCACACACATTCATACTCACAATAGTTCACCGGTTGGCCTAGACCAAAAGTATGAACATAAATAAGATAGAACAATTTCAAAGGAATTAAATTGTAGTTTTAGATTGAACCATCGTTAAAATGTCACTCTCCTTTTGATGGTTGTTTGCCTTTAAAGACTTTAGAAATACCGGACGTTTCAAGGATTCATATTTGGATTTTGTAGGCGAGTTTCAAGATGTATTTGAGACTATTTTGTTAAAATTACATGCGTGAAGACGTTGAAAGTAAATGAAAAATATAACGTAACACATATTTTATAATTCACTTAATAAACTTAACACATTCCACGATTGATAATTCATTCCAAAAAATAAAATTCCCGTTTTTTTTTTTTGAAAAAAAAAGTCTGCGATCTTAGGAAATCCATCACGGAAAAGGTAAGTTGTTGGGTTTTAATATGTCAACTCATTGAGATTTTGGATTGGAATCATGTCGTTGGCTCAAAGTTCAATCTTGTGAATAGTTTGTTCCCGAAAACGCAATTTTCATTGTCGGATTTCACGTTGCTTCCAATTCACTTTATCAGTATTAAGATAAAAACAAGCGTAATCGAATGCACGCATTTGACTGATAAATTCCAACGAGTGCTTGAAATGTGATCACGTTTTGTTTATCAGCTGTATACGCTACAAATGTATTAATTTGTCGTGTTCAATATAGTATGAAGCGTATAATAATTTGTCGCTTAGGAAACTAGTTTATTATCAAGTCTAATTGAAATAATCAAAAATGTAGTCACGGGGTAAATCAAGTTGGCAATCAACAATTTAGGAAAACAAAAGTACAGATTTCACCGAAAAAAGAGGTAAAGGCATGCAAATGAGACGTCGCATAGCAGATTCTAAGTCAGAACAATTCAAGTGAAATTCTTTTTTTTTCACACTTCAGGTAGTTGGGTTCAAATCTTTGTACAGTTACGACGGCTTTCTTTTACTTACCTGGACTCACGTACTTTGGATCGACTTTTGTCATATCCACTGGCATAGTGATAAAATTCATACATATTTAAGAATCTGAACCAAATTTCTAGTCAATGTGATCAATGGTAGCAAAATAGTGCTAAAAGAGGAACGAATGAAAAATGGTCCAAATTCGCTGTGCTTAACAAATTGTGACGTCAGTTATCGCAAACATGTGTTTCAAATTCATGTGTGTTCCTCTTACACGAAGTGTTTTCTTGTATACTTATCGAATCCACAATAAATTTCAAAATAGGTGGCTGCAAACAATGTGTGAGATAAAACTGCCATTCAGTTGTTAGTGTTCTGCCGATAGCATAGTTTCAGTTGAGAACGAACGTTCAAACGAAATGGTTCGAAGTATTTCGGGTGTGAAGCAAAATATGCAGCCGCTTCCAAATTAATTTCAAACGGATTTGAAAATATGATCATTTTGGAGGCTTTTAACCGTTTAAAACCAAGTTTTCGAGTAATTTTATGAAATTAAATGGAACAATTTGTTCTTTTCTATTAAATAACATTAGAAAAATTGCCAAAATATATTTTTTTTTGCTTTCTTTCCAAGCATACAACAATAACTTGATGAGTGTACGTGAACTGTCAAACTGTCACGTTGCACAATGCACATAGAAAATATTAGCAAAAAATAGCACTTTTATTGAGGGAAACTAGCACAAATAGCATATATTAGGAAACAATAGAATAAATTAGTGAAACTAGCGTTGGTGTCTCTCCCCTTGTGTTTATACAATTCCGTATGGAAAGAACGTTTTGGACATGGGCACACAGTGGTGAAATTGCTATTTGATGTTTGATTTATTGAAAATTAGTATTTTGGAGCTTTTTTCGTTGGATCTGACCAGGGTATGGAGGCCACATTTTATCCTGGAGCCTCAATTTTATCCTCAAGAATTTACCCCCTCAATTTCGACGATTTGATGCGCTCACTGGATTTGAAATTAACCCTTTAATTTTTTCGATGTTTTCCGATCAGGTGTCATGGTGAAGAGGGGAATGTTGTCGAATGTTACGAAATGTCAAAGGACAAAAAGGTGCTATCATCTAAGATACGAAAAATTTGAATCTGTACGATCGGATGGAGAACGAATTCCACAGGAAAAAACCAATAAATTAGTAAATCTTGCCGAAAACATTTTTGATCCGAACGACGATCGAGTGGAGAAAAACGCCTACGATGGATCACTTGGAAATTATTTTGCTAAAAGTCAAGCGATTTACAGAAAACCAATAAATTTTAAATGGTTGACTTAGAAATTGCAATTACTCCACCTTACGATTCTTCACACACAACACTCAAATGACTTAAACATTATCGGTGAAATCGATAAAGATTGAAAACAAAAAAGTGTGAGAGTCGCTTTCAACTCTCGTATCAGTTTTTATTTAATGAGAATATTTACAATGGGATTACATAATCGAAACATATTTCTATTACAGATCTTCGTAGTGTTGAATATAGCGATATCGATTCAAATCTTCAACGCGAGGCACTCGAGTGGGTTCACCTGTATCGTAACATGCATGTACGAAGCACAACAAGACTATATTAAGTACTGGGACTGTCCCTGTGATTTATTTCTAAATTGGAAAGACAAGGGCTATGTCAGGGTTTTTGATTTGCTTCAGGTATGTTTAGAGTCAGTCATTTGAATTTGAAATCCGTTTGGATTTGGTCTCAACACTTTTGCTTCCCATTTTGCAGAACAAACTCCCCAAAGGAAATCCCAAATCAATTGACAACGAGTCACGAGTTTTGCTGAATAAAGAAGTGAAAAAAAATCACGTATGACCCATTGAATTCCTCTTCCAATCGTACCAAAGTTGAATGGATCCGATGGAAAAATCCAAAGTTCCGATGGAAGTAAATATTACTGCGATCACCTAATCTGCACTGTTTCATTGGGCGTCCTTCAGAATCGTCACTGGAGTTTATTCGAACCGTTATTGCCTCGACACAGAATCAATAGTATTGAAAGCATTGGCTTTGGCACCGTTGACAAAATCTATGTGGAATTCACCATACCGTTTTGGGACAAAGACTTTGAAGGTGTCTCGTTCCTTTGGAAGCCGAGCAGTTAAAGGAACTCCATGCGGATCCAGTTAATGGCGAATGGTTGAAAGATACTCTGGGCTTTTATACCGTAAGCCATCAGCCGAATATTCTGTGTGGATGGATCTAGGGAAAAGCGGCGAGAAAAATGGAATTGGTCAGCCAACAAGATTTCAAAGCCGGCGTCGAACGAGTTCTGAGGATGTTCGTGAAGAACTTTAACGGAGCTCAGATCAAAAATATCTTTTGGTGAGTTATTTTGCGATTCTTCCCTTCCGTAGAAATGGTTCCAAATTTGAATATTTTTCTCTTTCTACAGCACAAAGTGGAGCTCAAACCCACACTTCCTTGGATCATATACATTTTTTTTTTGTTATTTTATTAAACACCGCCAAGCTCTGGCTGAATATAATGTGGGTTTTGATTGAGGTTTGGCAGGAAAAGAGTGCAAGACTGTTACATATTTAAAATAATAGACAATTTGTAGCAATAGGTTTCGATAACTATCAGTTCTCGCCTCGTAAATTATGCGGTAATCACAATAGTAGGAACATGAAAACGAAAACAGTCATGCAACCAAGATGGAAATGCCTGATATTAGTCTATGCAAACGGTCCAAGATAACCTTTGGTAAACGTTTCCAAGGGACAAAGGCTATGTGAAGCGTTTAATTACGCGTTAATTTGAGACTCTAGGACAGCAAAAGTCGTCGCTCAATTTATACCGGTAGATAAATTGACGAGAAGTTTTACGTCTGTAAAGGCAGATCCATGTCGATTGCAGAGTGCATTGAGTTGACATGGACTATGATTTGAAACGTAACTAGATCATTTGATGCCATTTGATAAATAATTCAAATTTGATTTCAATGATAAGAATATTAAGTCGCCAACTCGTGGATGGCTTTAACAAAGAACAAAATGAATTTACAATAAATAAGTGTAAACATCACAGAAAGGTATCATCATTTCAATACATATGGAAGGAATGTACGGAAAATAATTCGTCAGAATTTTAGTATTGATTTTTGCTGCGTGATTTGTGTGGGCTCATGTTTGTTGCAATCAGCGGCATCCCAAAGAAAATGGCACACGGGCAATCTGTGTTGTCCTTGACGGGTTCGTCCGTTTGAGATCATGGGTCGGGTTTAACGGCAACATGAAAATCGTAATTCCATAATTAGTGTGGGTAGTATCTACGTGTTCTCGTAGAGAACATATACAAATAAATGAGGTTACCTGGATGAAAAATTGACGAGTCGGCCAGGTAGTCATTTGAGTTTGCAAAGCGATCCAAAAGTGGTGTCCGCCATTTTGCGAACCGATGATGCAAAATTCGTCTTCGGGGTAGCTGTTGTGAACAATTGTGGCACCATGTTCGCCATTTTGCACATTTGAGAAATTGGAACCTCGCGCACCAACTTCATGTGCTTGTCATTGACCTTGAATTGCTCACTGTGTCTCAACGAACGGCCATTATGGAATGAGACTTGGTCACTAACTGTTGGACAGTTAGCGTTACCGTTGATGATGTCGTAGAAAAATGTCAATGACGCGTTGACACGTCGACGGCGAAGACTAATCATGTTCAAGTCTGACAATCGCTGCTCATACGGTGTGATTGAATATTGGTTATGCACGGATGGGTATTCACGACGAGCGTACATAGTGAATTGGCGTTGCACGGATTCAATTTTGTCGCTGTGGATCTTGTGGAATGGAAGCTATACCATGGCGCAGTAGTCGAGGTGGGATTGAACCAATGCAAAATACAGCGACTTTAGTGTGGTAACGTCGGTGATATCATGGCAGAAGCGTTTGACAAAGCCAAGTGCAGCCGTTGCCTTCGAAGTGACCATGTCGATGTGTTTGGCAAAAGATAGCTTTCTGTCAATTAGAACACCCAAGTCCTTGTGTTCAGTCACTTTGTCGAAGGTATAGTCGCCATAGGTGTAGTTTGTATCCAAATGCTGACGTTTCTTGTAGATAGATAGTACTGCACATTTTTTGAGGTTAAGGTGCAGCCGATTCACGTCACACCAATGTTTAAGTTTGTCGATGGCTTGTTGCAATATCTCCGAATCTTGCTGAGATTCGATGATTTTGGCAATTTTGATATCGTCAGCAAACAATAATATCATGATGTCTGGGGGCATTTGATCCACGATGTCGTTGATGAACAGCAGGAACAGTGTTGGTCAGAGGTGGCTCCCCTGTGGGACACCCGACGACGCTGTAAAGTCGACCGACTCACTTGCTCCATGTTTGACAAATTGGG